TCTATCTATCTATCTATCTATCTATCTATCTATCTATCTATCTATCTCTCCCTCTCTCTTTCTGTCTCTCTCTCTCTCTCTCTCTCTTTCTGTCTCTATATCTATCTCTCTATCTCTATCTCTCTCTTTCTGTCTCTATATCTATCTATCTATCTATCTATCTATCTATCTATCTATCTATCTATCTATCTATCATCTATCTCTCTGTCTATCTGTCTGTCTATCTATCTATCTATCTATCTATCTATCTATCTATCTATCTATCATCTATCTATCTATCTATCTTCAAATCTTAGTAAACATCTCATGGAACGGAACCAGGCAGAGAAAACCCGAGTTGCTCCCCCTTGTATCTCCAATCAGCACCTGTTATTGTTTGTTTTCACCCACGACCTGCATGCCTCCCCGTGGCAGCCAGGAAGTTCCTTTGATCGCGCAAGATGAAAGAAGTTGCCTGAAATGGAGACAACACCACAAACTCCACCGCAACCGCCTCTCCTCGGCTACCTAAGACGAAGGCAGGCAAGCGAGGGAGCAAGGAAGGAACTGGGATGTTTTTCCTTCCTCCCTTACCTGTGCAGGTGCCTCCTGGATGAGCGACGTGGCGTCCTCCTATCTCTCCGGTTCCCCCAAGGCCAGAGGCGAAGAATGCTTCTTCAAACGAAGGAGAAAGAAGACAAGCCGAGTCGTGAGATCAGCCAGGACGTGTCGAAATTCCCTCTGACGATCCTGGCTTATGAAATAGAGGAGTTCTCCCTTCCCAGCCTGGACTGAGAGACCCTTTTGAGTAACACCCCTCCCTGTCACCATGGTGGAAATTCAGACATGACTTATGGACGTCGTGGTGCAAGGTTGAGAGGAGGTTTGGAGGCGTTGACAGAGCTGAATTGCAGCACACACTGAAACTTTTGCACGCCCACGGCGGCCCCGAAACACACACGCTAAACTTATGAATATTAGTATTATTTTAAATGCAGGGTGTGGTGTTAAAATTGCAGACCCCGTAAAATGTTCAGATTTCATACGTTTGTTTAAATTTAATAGAGAAATAATTTTCTCTCCTCACCCTCAAGCCCCTTTCCTTCCTCTCTCCTCTCCTTCCTTCCTTCTTTTCTCCCTCCCTCCCATCCTTTCCTCCTTCCCTCTCTTCATTCCTTCCTTCATCCCTCCTTTCCTTCTTTCCTTCATCCCTCCTTTCCTTCATCCCTCCATTCCTTCTCCCTGTCTCCCTCCCTCCCCCCATCCCTTTCTTTCCTCCCTCTCTCCATTCCTTCCTGGCATGACAAGGGATCACCAAAGGTCATCTAGATCAGCCCTCAGCAACATGCAGGGGACAAGCTGTTAACAGGCCTCAAGA